CAGAGCTGGCAGCAGATTCAGACAATGAGTAGGGTGGGGAGGAACTTGGGCCAGTTCTGAAGTCTGGGGAAGGTTCTGAAAGATACTCTGTGTCATAAGTCTTCATCATCTGTCTTTTACTACTCTTTTTGCAGTAAACATTAGGATTCAATGANTTGAATCTTCAATAAATTACCTGTCAATGAACACAGCCTTCAACGGAAAAAAAGAGTTGCTCGTTGCAACTATACACATGTTGAACTTTATCCCCAACGTGCTTTTTCCAGAGGCAACTGGACTTTCTTGTTTTTCTTTGAAGACATTTTGCCTCTCAATCCATTTGTACTACTCAGGTGACCCTGAGGACACAGATAAACCTCCACATGGCCTCACGACTCTCTAAAAGAATGAAAATGACCAACTGTCTGCAAGGAATATAAATCCTTGCATTCCCCACCATCCAGTCAGAACTGAAGAAGCTTCTTGGATGAGAAGTGAAATGTCTTCAAACAAAAACCAGAATGCCCAGTTCTCTCTTGAAAAAGCACCTTTGGGACAACCATGACCTGGATGATTGAGAATCTCCATAGAAATTGTTGACATTATGTGGCAGCTAAAAGGAAATTATACTATGAATTGTATCTTCTGTTTTCCTCCATAATGTTTAGGTATCCTTGTCAATGTAATTTATTTGTACATAGAATGGTCCGTCTACTGTTATGGGGTAACAACAGAGATACTTACGTATGTCTGCCTTCTGTATATTTCTGGCTCTCAGTATTCTAACTGTGAGGAGTCTGAATGGAGTTTCTTCTCTCTGTTAATAAGACAACAACAACACATAAACACGTTTGATCATTCATTGATCATTATTTTGTAACTTGTGTCTCACAGTCTCCATGAAGATGCCCACACATCATCAAGTTATATTTGTTTGAGAAATGCAGTAATGGGATTTCTATCCAATAACACCTCCCCCCCCCCAAAAAAAAACCCAGAGAAAACCACTAGCAAAACTGCAAATTGAATGTTCAGCCAAAAGATGCAGACATGGAGTTTTACTGGAGGGAGGGAGACATAGGAGAGGAGGAGAGAAGCATCTTAGAACTAAGGAGAAATTTCCTGACAGAACAAATAATCGATGGAACAACTTGCCTCCAGAAATTGTGAATGCTCCAATACTGGACGTTTTTAAGAAGATGTTGGATATCCATTTGTCTGAAGTGGTGTAGGCCTAAGCAGTGAGTTGGACTAGAAGACCTTCAAGGTCCCTTCCAACTCTGTTATTCTATTCTATATAAATTTGAATATCATTAGATAATCTTGGTAGTGGTACATAACAGAAATCATCAGAGAGTAGTCCTCAAATGCAAAAGAAAGTGTGCATGTGACCACACATAGAATTATTAAATTCACGTAGTATTCACATTGGCGTGCCAGTCCAACTCCATGTCTGGGTCCTGGGGTTGAACTTTCAAATTGCAGTAATGATCAACTCACAGCTCCATCAACTGCGAACAGTATATACAAAAGGATATCATTTCTCCTGCTTCACTAGTGTTCTGTTCAGAATGAACATATATATAGAATCCCTCTTGCTCCTAAAATCATTAACTTCTCATTCTTGAATATTATTGATCTACAAGTGCAAAAATAACACAATGCTAATTCCCAAATAACAAATGCTAATGCCTACAGATGCAAAACAGCCACAGTTCTATTCTGACTTCCCTGGGATTCAAGTATGCAAAGCAATCTGTACAGGATAAATTGCTTCAGGTGTTTGCCTTCCTGCGGGCTAGAGGTTAATTGGGTGAACTTGCTATGCAGTACCAAGTTTGGCCAAGTGCCCTGGTCTTGTGAAATCAGCGTGGTAGTGATTACAGCAAAACACATTCTCAATATTAGGAAACTAGTGTGGGACCAGGATATGATGAGACATCACACCAAATGATTCCATTCTGATCTCACAAGGTGAAATTAGCATTCCTCAAGCAACTCGTAGGGAAAGCCAACTATATGAAAATTACTATGTGAATCAGCTTCCATGTCAAGTTGTATCACATTGCTTATGTATGGATACCTATAGCACGAAATGTGCCAGAAGGAAGAGACGCTAGTGGTGACTGTTTGAACAATCGTAGTCAAGTATATGCCTCCCACACTGAGATGGAAGGAAACAAAATATGGAGACAAGAGCACAGTAAAGATCAAACATAACAAAATGGTTTTTGGACATACTCAATGCCACTGAATCTGGAAGTAAACCATTAGTCAGTAATTCAGTGATCACTGCCTTAATGTAATGTAATTGTTCAAATATTACATTTTAAGAGAAAAAAATAGTAATTAAAATATCTGGCTTCCCATTATAACTACACACAAAATGACCTGGCACATGCATTACTCTAAGCCTTGAATTGCTTAATAATACTTTGCTGATTAAACTACAAGTAAATAAATACTTCCATCATGTTAATCAGAAGCCATGGTTTATAATCCATAATGGGTGGTAGCGCTAAAACCATATAATATGTGATAATAGTTGGTAATACTAAAACAAATTTGAATAAACTATAGCTTAATGTGTGTGTGTACCCAGAGAAAATATATTACTAAAAATTCACAGAACTGCTCAGAAAAAATATCAAAGCTATTTATAATTTCCCAAACCAAATCAAGAAATCACAATACAGTTTAGACTGACATATATGTAATTCATTTTGTTTAAAACACTAGAGCACACCACTTCATGTTTTAACAGCATATTATCCACCCTGCTGTTATGGTTATTTTACATCAAGTACAAAATTTATCGAAAATCCAGTTTGAAAGACCAAAACTATTTCCTGTTTAGAGTGTCTTCATTGCATCATCCAGCCTTATAAGTAATATAAAGTCTGTCCTCACTATTATAATTTTGCTACAATAATGACCCTAAAAGATGCTAAATATTGCCAATGGGGTAAATGATATTCCAAAGAAATGGGTGGTGGTGGTGGTAGAAGATTTAAAATGAAAATAAGAATGATGACTTTTTGGCTATCACATATATTTCAGATACAAGTTACTGGCTATGATGTAATCAAAATCAAGTCCAAGATTAAGAAATGCAAACATTTGTTTAATTTACTTCAGTAATATTTAATGCTAAAGGAGGAGGATTATCTCACTTCTGATTTAAGAAAACACATTATCACCAGAGGTGGTATTCTACTGGTTTGCCCCATTTCGGGTGAACCAATAGCAGTGGCGGCGGGAGGCTCCGCCCGTCCACCCAGACATCATCACAAGTGCTCTGCGCATGCACAGAAGGTTCTGCGCATACACAGAAGGTTCTACACATGAGTAGAAGCACCACACACGAATTCCAAACCAGTAGCAAATGTAAGAGAAAACTATTACTGATTATCACCTCTTCAAAATTAAATTATAAATTTTACCTATTATAAAATTTAGAAATTAAAACAATTATCAAATTATTATAGCCAAAACAACCTCATCCTCTGGAAAACAACAGGCTGAAAAGGGGCATTCATTAGCATTAATTCAACTTTAAACTCTGATAATTAAAAGAATAAAAAGAAAAACAGCATGCCTTATACTACAGATTGGAACTTAAAAACGAATGGAATTAATTATATAACCAGATAGCAGATATGAAGCAAATTGAAGAGGCTCAATCAGCACATTTACATTTCACCAATCTTTCTAATCTGGTGTTCCCTGAATATTTCTATCTGCGATTGCCATCCCATCAAGCTAGAATGGCTATTACAAGCAAATGAAAAGAAAGATAAAAGAGTGTAATCAGTGTCATTACATCCTCTCTCAGGGATGTCCATCAGTGTCGTTACATCCTCTCTCAGGGATGTGATAAAAAAAAGTCAAGATGGTAGCCACAATTAGGCTCCACTGGTTATTATGTGTGTCACATGTGCTAATTTTGATCCTTTTTTTTTAACCACACCTTGTATATGCCTCTATTTTCTCTTCTTGCTGAATGCAAATCATGCCTTGACTCATTAAGTAACAAACAAAGGTGCCAAGTCATATAGAATGGCAGCCTGGAAAAGGATTTAAAGGGGAAGCTTCNAAATACACAGTAGTGATCCAAAATTATTCATTGTATAAAGCAGGGTTAGTCAACCTTTTCATACCTACCGCCCACTTTTGTATCTCTGTTAGTAGTAAAATTTTCTAACCGCCCACCGTTTCCACAGTAATGGCAACTTATAAAGTAGGAAAGTAACTTTACTTTATAAAATTTATAAAGCAGTTACAGCAAACCCCTACCGCCCACCATGAAAGCTGGAACACCCACTAGTGAGCAGTAGGGACCAGGTTGACTACCACTGGCATAAAGAATTGAAAATAAGTTCAGAAGAAAGGAATGCTGTATCTAATTCATTTTTTTCTGGAATACTCAGCCCTAACATTGTCTAAGTTTTAGAGTTTGCTAAAAATTCATCCTTTTTAAATTGTTTTTTTTTTCAGCAAGAAATTCTCACTAGTATTGATAGCAATAGCATGTATATACTGCTTCATAGCACTTTAAAGCCCTCTCTAAGCGGTTTACAGAGTCAGCATATTGCCCCCAACAATCTGGGTCCTCATTTTACCCACTTTGGAAGGATGGAAGGCTGAGTCAACCCTGAGCTACTCATAATTTAACTCCTGGGGTGAGCACTAAGTTAGTCTGCATTCTAACCACTGCACCACTATGGCTCTAGTATTACTAGTATTAGTAGTACTGCGACTAATATTGATCTTTATTTTCATTTTATATTTGAACATAGACTCTTGACATTTATATTTAATTGTGTTTTACTGATCTAGATGAAATGTTAATATATTGTTAGTCCATGTATGATAAGCCATAAGCTAAATAAATACATTCATTTTGTACCATTGTTTTAAAATTACTGTTCATTCCTTTAGGATGCACGAGAAACATATATAGGAAATAAGATTAGCAGGTGGGAAAGCAAAGTGGTCCCCAAGTAGCCTTTGTAACTTACCAGGTGACTTGTATTTTTGGAAGCTGTCACACACCAATGGAAAATACAGCAATATAGGAGCCTTTGGACTCTCTGCATCATCAAAGAGATAACATTCCTTGAGATTCTTCCTGTCTTCTTCTGTCAGATCAGTCTTAGGGAATGGGATGCCCTGACCGTGATAGTACCTTGTGCTTAAATCCAGCGGCTAAAACATTAAACACAAGAGTAATCAATACCAAGAGATACAAATACATATTTCTATTTCACAAAAGCTGGACATTCTAAAGAAACTATGGACAGGCAGTGTGAGGAATACCATAGGCTCATGATGGCAAACCTATGGCACGTGGCATGTGGAGCCATTTCTGAGGGCACGCAAGGCGTTGCCCTGTCAGCTCCAATGCACATGTGTGCGCTGGCCAGCTGATTTTCGGCCTTGGTTTTCAGCTGTTTTTTTGCACTTTGTAGGGCCTCTGGGGGGCGGGGGAGGCCATTTTCTCCCTCCCCAGGCTCCTAGAAAGTCTTGGGAGATGGGGTAGGGCAAAAAACAGACTTACTCGGCCCACCGGAAGTTGGAAAGCGGGCTGTTTCCAGACTCCTGGGGGGCGGGGAGGCCACTTTTCCCCTCCCCAGGCTCCAAGAAAGCCGTGCGCACATGTGTGGTGCAGCAGGATGGGTGGTCACGTTCACATGCGCAGGGGGCACAGCGCCAGGGGGCCATTAAAATATGGGGGTGGGCACACGCTTGCGTGCTTTTGGCACCCAAGGCAAAAAAAAGTTCGCCATCACTGCCATAGGCACATCATACCTGTCAGAAGTTCAGAGCACAGAATAACAGAGTTGGAAGGGGCCTTGGAAATCTTCCTAGCACTACTCTTTTGTAAGAGGCGAAGAAAGGAGGACTTTCAAATAACCTTCAAATAATCTTCTTGTAATATTTAAAACTGAAACATGAATGGAGAGGAGAGTGGCTAAAAAGAATAATGAAGTTTCTCACCAATGTCTGTGATCCTCCACTGTAATTTAAATGTATGATAATGTCTACTTGTCTTTCTGGTCTTAAAAGAGGTGGGCAGCTGGTGTTGATAAAGAAAGCTGTGTCTACAAGCTCCAAATAGTCTTCAGACTCAGTCAGGTGATTAGGGCTACAATCCAGTATAGTATCTGAAAGACAAAATGCATATTTGCCATAACCAACATTTTAAAGTGATCTTTAGCTCCCTTGGTCTGCTATTAGAACTTCCAACAACAGAGTCACAGATTTTCAATCCCTGTTGTAAAAGAGGTTTATAAATAATGAAAGCAAAAAGAATGCAAATAATCCTCAGTAAAGTTTTACTTGCAAAGAATTTGGGGGAAATGGTCTGAACAAGTGGGGGTTTTTTAGTCAAAAACTTAATATATACTTCAAAATGATTATAACTGAATTATAATTATAACTAAAGACTGAAATCTAGCTTGTGATGCACTAAGGCGAGTCTTTTCAGAAGGGTTGACTATGAAAGTATTGGGAGCAAAGGTGGGTTCCTACCGGTTCAGACTCGTTCAGCTGAATAGGTAATAACTCAGCCTGCCATGCCCCCGAACCTGTTCTATCAGTGGTGCCATAGGCTGGCATCTTTTAAAGTATTCTGCATGTGCATGCAATGTGTCCCTGAGTGAACTGGTGGTAGCAGTAGCCAGAACCCACCTCTGATTGGGAGACAAATATCATATTTCCCTCAATATTTACATAACAGCTTCAATCTTAAACCTGGGGAATGAGAACAACTGCTAGTTGTGAAACAGCAGTTCGGATGCACTGCAATTTCTCAGTTAAAAGTGAAAAGAGTTATCCATTCTTAGAAGTATGTGCTATCAACTATATCTCAGAAGTACAAACAAGCTGAGTTAGACTATCTCCAGCATCACCTGAATGGAGAGTCAAAATTTTCAAAGCATCAAATATGACCCTCAAAACATATTCAGCAATCTCTATATACCTCTCATTCCTAGAATAGTCTAATGACTCAAGTCAGAAATATATTATGTCATGGATGGTAATATAAGAAAAGATGATGAATTCACATTCTGGAGATTGAGAATTTACCTATATCTGAAAAAAAGAAAATTGTCTATATTACCTTTCCACATGGAAAAATTATTGTTCTCCAAGTATTTGTTGTTCATCTGCAGACCTTTAATAAAATTGGGGTAGCATGCAACAACTGGACGCATGGTTACAACATCTTTAATCGCATCTGACACAGAACCATTAGGGATGAAAAGACGTGTTGGCTGCACATATGGTCTCTTGGGCAACCAAGGGGGAGTATCTTCTTCTGTAAAACAGAGAAAACTTTATTTAGATCCATCATTCAAACAGCCCATTCAGAGAGGCAATACGTCTAGTGAGAGAGATGTTCCCTGAGTATGGGCTCCAGCAGGAGTCCAAAAGCTTGGAAGATGAAACCTCTGGTTCTGGTGACTGACCCAGATTGGATCCTGCAACAACCAGTTGTGTTCTTGAAAGAGTCAAAACAAGTCAATTTAAGAGGTTATTTGCAGTTTGCAAAGGCAGATGCCAAATAAAATTGAATGTTACTTAAAAGGGCAAATTCAGTAACTGCAATTTTACCAAATTTTGGTTTTGTAGAAAAATAATCATTTCCACAATATTCTTATATTTTCTCCTTTGGATAGGTCTTCTAGTATATCAACCATACAGCCTCTTAGCCCTAGTCCAACACTTTACCACATTGTTGTCATGTCTGTATGACATTTCCCAGGTAAGTATAAAAGTTAAGGCCCTGGTTAGAATTGGTCTTTAAGAAATGTCCCAGGGATCACATTCTTCAAGTTCAGCATTGGCCCTGGACAAAAAAAAAACTGCATTTCACTTCTGTTTTAATTGGAAATATGAACTTCAGTCCATCTAGAGCAGGATTCTCCAAACTGATCAATATTGAACTCCAAGAGTTGATAGGTCTATCAAGGACAAAGTGGACACACATTCCCCCAAGCTTTCTATTTCCAACTAATTAATTTGACACCAAATCATCTCCAAAAGGCACAGAAAAGAGAAGCATTTTCTGGGCAAATTAATCAAAAGAGAAATAACAGACTACTAACCAATTTCATACATTCTAGGTCTTGTCCATTTATGCCAGAAGTCTTCTGAACATTCTGCTAAATATAAGGCATCCAGCAGATTTTGGGAATAGATATTACTCCACATGCCTGGGAAACAAAGAATATTTAACAAGAACTTAGTAGATTTTTTAAGTATGTGCCACCCCCATTACACTAAGATGGAAATCATATCAAAAAGTATAGAAGCTATTCATATGCCTTCTTTTTTCTACAGTATATGCTCCCATATTAGAGAGGGAGGTTTTTTTTAATATATTTGTTGGTCTGGACCTCATGCGAGAGATGTCAAAACTATCTCCCCTTAAAACTTATATAGATATTAGCTATTAAGAGTTATATTAGCTACTGGTCAGTAGCAGGTTTTGTATTGCCTCCTACTGGTGAGTCACTAATATTTTTTTAAAAAAACTACATAAGCAATTTGTGTTAATATGTATGTCTAAAATATAGGTTATATAGTACATTCTTGCCATATGAAAGCCAAGAATCTGATTTATTTGTTTAGCTAAATTACCTTGCATAAAACAAAGCCGAGATTCTGGGATCTTCTTCATTAAGTGACCCATGTAGAACTCACTTCCAAAATTTTCTGCATTAATAAATGCTCCGTATTTCAAGAAGCCCACTTCATAGGGAGTGAATTCCATCCATTCTGCAGATATAATACAAATACACAGAGGCATAAACACAGACAGGCACATGTGCCTATATAAACTAATAATCAGCAATCTTAACATTTTGGTTATGTATACTTGTAGAGGAAAATTACAGTTATGTAACATAAGATCACACAGATACAATTCCTTTTCAGGCTATCACTGCTGATAAAGTCACTTCAGTGAGAAACAAACAATCACAAAAGTATATTAATTCAGAATGTACTTGCTCCCCTCTCTAGCCTGGATTCTAAGCCAGATTTCCATGAAGCAGAGGACTATACAAAATTCAGAATAAGGCTTTGCCATTATGTTACACTATGTATAAGGCTAAAATTGCCTTCATTGGTCTAGGCCAGTGATGAACCCTTTTGTCCTCGTGTGCTAAAATTGTGTGTGCCCACACCCACAATGCAATGCGCCCCCCCCCCTTATGCATGCGCACATGATCTCTGTCTTGTGGGGGGAGTTTTCTCTCTCCCCAGGCTTTCATCAAGCCTCCGGGAGAGCAAAAAACAACCTCCCCTGGGCTCCAATCAGCAGAAGAAAAAGGACACCGCACTAGGAGGAGACTCTAGGGTGGGGGAATTGGACTTTCAGTTGGCGCCACAATTGAATCAGGGAGCTTCCATTTAGGACCTTTGTGGCTCTTTGAGTGTTTAAAGTTGCCAACCCCTGGGCTAAGCAATGTCATTCATACCCAGATGAGAGACAGATACCAGGGAATACTGTAAGCTAGATTGGAAATTCGAAAATCAGCTTGTGGAAGTCGACAGCAAACCACCACGATTTTTCTTTTTTGGTCTATAAAACTTTATGGATGTTCACCACCTGGCATTTAACCTTCAAATTAAACTCGTATTTTGAAAATAGTATCTTACCTTTAAAATCTAAAGTGCTATATCTTTTCTTGACATTAAGAGCAAGGTAGATAGGAAGAGGGTTTTGACCTAGATGTATTGCCTTTCGTTGATCTGAGAGCTTATTGGGGTCTGGCTGTGCAAGAAATACAGAAGTTAGTAGAAGAACAAAAAAACAAATACTGCTGTCATTTGTGCCCATTCTTTTCCAGATCATACATGTATTTGAAAACAATCATCCAGATACTGAAATACTTTAATCAGAAATTCAGATAAACAATGAATGATTGGGATGGGCCACAAACGAGATTAACAAATAAATAAAAATGGGGGGAAATGAAACTTGGTAATGCATTTCTGAAGATCATCTCTTATTCCATTCTCAATCATCTCAACAGGTATTTTTGTATATATGATTCAAGATACAGATCTGAATTAAAAATAAAGAAAGCAGCAAAGCTGGGAACTCATGCTTATTCCATTGTATCTAAAAATAGGTTTTAGTTGTAATTGTGTTATATCTTATCTCTTCACTAGATTAATATGGACAACGTGGTGCATGTATTTTAAAAAATGTTTTAATAAGAGAATACAATGTTGATTAGCACCTCCTGGTGTAATTCTGTTTTCACAAAATATCATAGTTTGCCTTCTGTGACATTTCTGGGAGCTCCAGATAACTATTCAAGTCTTCTTACCTAATCTATCACAGATATTTGCTACTAAGTGATAGTGGATGGTGTAGAATGGACAAGAAAACCACTATATTAGCAATTGATATTTTGAGGCAGATAATTCCTATAATTAAAAAAAACAGTAGCAAGGACCATTCCATGGCTTTATTTTTCCATGGTTTATATCACCTTACTCTTTAAAGAAAAACATGTAAATATAGTACCTCATCATGAAACATCGATTCAAGAATTAGTCCCCAGAGATCTGCAAATGTCAGCTTGTGACCTTCATCATGTCTGTTCCATATTTCCTTCTCATAATATTTCAAGTTGTCTGGACTAAAACAGCACAATTTATTCTTCATCACTTGTTTCCGAACATCCATGATCACGCCTTCTAGATTCTTGTGTGACCAATATGGATCTCTGAATAAATTTATCATTGCCCTAAGGAAAGGAAATTGAATTGTAAGCCAACAAGAGTCATTTACTGAGATGGGCGGCTATAGAAATCAACCAAAGAAATAAATAAATAAAAGCCAGCATTTATGTTTGAATTAATTAGTAATTTTGAACAAACAGACATAGGGGAGTCCTTGGTGGTCCCTGAGGTTGAGTGTTTTCTTGCAGACATGTCATTAACCAAACTAGGTAAGCACTGATGATGTTACCTAGTTTGGGTAATGAAACATCTGTAAGAAAACAATCAAGCTCAGAGGCCACCAAAGACCCCCTCATCTCAACTCTAAGCTACAAATATTCTTCTCTACGGGCAAACAAACATAGCTACCTTCATGTTGGTCTGTACAATTCCACCAAGTGACCCAGAGAATTTTATCACATATTTGTACCTGATAAAATGTTAAATGTCCAGGAAAGGAAAGTGATGCTCAGCACTTTACAGGAACACATATAAGCTGTAAAATTATGGGGAGGGACCAGGGAAGGAAGGGAAAGATTGCAGCACTGAGCACAAAGGAAACACTGGTGTCTCTGGAAAAACTGGCCACTGGGAATTGTCATGGGCTGCCTAAAAAGGAAAAATTTAAATGGGGTGGGTTGCTGCCAGTGTTGCTGCCAGTTCGCTTCACATGCATGCACAGTAGATTGTAAATTGTTCTGCGCATGTGCAGAACATGAAAAAATTAGTAAAACACATGCCGGCAATGGCAGCGGGACCGGGGAATCATTTCAGGGGCATGGCCAGCCTAGGTCGCTGCTGGTTCCTGGATCAAGGCCAAAATACCACTACCAGTTTGCCCGAACCAGTGTGAACCGGTAGCAACACACCTCTGAATTTAATGTATAGTTTCTTTCATAATTATTTCACTTTTCCCATCACATTAACCCAAACTGTAGTGTGTTAATAAGCAAAATGCAACATGCCAAAAAAAAAATACAGTTAGAGGGATACAGGTATTTGTTTAAGGTACTTGGACAAAATGCCACAAATTTTCCTTTATTAAACCTTCTAATATAATAGGGAATGCAGGGAAATGACTTCCCAAATTAGATTTATAGCAGAAAAAAAATCAGGTTGGTTTGTTTTTTAACTGATTGCAAAAAAAACACAACCTATTGCAACTTTTGATTGCATTAACAAAAGAATCATGACCAGCTCATGGGAAAGAATTCTCTATTAATTCAGGATGAAAGGAAAGGAAATAAGGAAGGGCTGAAAAATAAACATGAGAGAGCACCATTGGTAATTTTGCCTACTTTTTGTTCTTTACTTTATTTCATTATAGGCCAAAGGAGCACATATTTGAGGAAAGGATATTTAACCTTAATTCCCCGTGATGATCCAAATAAAAACTCTCCCCCTGGCACCCACATTCACTGAGTAATGTTGTTCATGGCTTCCTTACCACGTTGTGCCAGATAAACCAGTAATGTATGAAACACACTGCAAGAGATTGAGTTTCTGGAGACCTAACAGGCTCCCATACATGGCTGTCATTGATCTTACTCCCCCGGCTGTAGTCATAAGAGCCACCACTGGAACCTGAACAAAAACAGGTATAAATAAAATTTAATGATTCTGTTCCTAAGTAAAATTCAGGTTTGAATAAAAGAGCTGACTGAAATGAAGCTAGGATTATTAGGCATATTGTTGTGCAAAATGGCATCATTTTCACAAGAAATATTTTCTTTAAAAAAATATGTAGATGTTAACAGTCCTTGTCCCAGAACAATGCAAGCAAGCATAAATAAAAATATATGGAAAAATCCACATACCTCAAGCATAATATCTATAGACCTTATCAAGCAACTTTCTTGTTCCCAGCATAGCTGACACCACTCTAAGCTTTATATGAGATCAGTACTTTATGTACAGTACATGGCTCACAAACTCAAATACAACTTGCAATGAGTTGTAGAAAGTTAGCACACACACACACACACACACACACACACACACACACAGGAAAATGAAATATTTTGGGAAATATTAAAACTGAAAAAGATGAATATTTCTTCCCACAGATGTTTGGTCCTGCCCTACTGAGAAATGATCCCAGTAATAACAATTTAAAACTNTATATAAAGAGGGGAAAGGCAATCACCTATAAATAAAAGAAAAATGAAATAAAAAGAAGAAAGGACTTTGTAATGTAGTGGTCTTCAACCTTTCCAGCTCAGAGGACTGGCGGAGGCAGCAGCGGTACCAGACACAGGGGTGGGGGAAGGGGATGGATACACATATGTCCTCGCCCACCATTTCCGTGGACCAGTTTTGAAAGGGCTGTGGCCCAGCACCAGGCCATGGATTAAGCATTAGGGACCCCTGTTGTAAGGCATATGCTATTGATTTAAACAGTAATAATTTATAAATCAGCCTACTTTGGGCTAGTGACTCATGATTTGAAAGGATTAAGGGACCTATTCACATTGATTGTATTCTCCTGAACTGCTAACCAAAAAAATGGGACTGAAAATTTCAACTTGAGGATCTGCTTTAGAGGATCTGTAGACTTCAAACGTTTGGTAGAAATTTCAAAATGATCTTACAATTGTTATGGTTTTCCTATAGCTGCTGTTATTGCTGCTGTCCCTGAATTTCATGGTTCTACATCATTCTGAAATTTCTGCCTATCTCTACTTCCCGATCTGAAGAAAACAGAGAGAATTTTCTTCACAACTCCTAACCTTGAGCTTTAATAGATGCTTTCAAAGAACATGTCAATTGTTCAGTTGTTCAGGTTACATCTACATAACCAATTATCCACTATACAAACACAAAAATCCATGCCTGACCATTTTTCAAAGTAATTCACTTTTTCCCCAAAATGTTTTTGTCTAAAATTAAATGAGAATAAGTACAAAATATGTGAAGATATTCAACTCAGCACTCATCCATTTTGTACATACCTTTTCCGGTTCTTCTCGATGGTTGACTATGTTCTAAAGAAAAACAAAATACATGTATTTAAAACACTAATTTCAAATACTCATTTAATACTTTTCAAGTATTTACTTGCATATAAATACCACAATTCATATTGTTTATGGGGGCTCCATCACTGGAGGCTTTTAAGAAGATATTGGACAGATGTTTGTCCAGAAGGCTAAAGGTCCTCCTGCTTCATTAGGGGGCTGGACTAGATGACCTCTAAGGTCACTTCCAACTCTGTTATTCTGTTTGTAAGGATTTCTATATTCCAACTTTCCAATGGGACAGAAGCATAAATATATTACACGATGTCTCTAAAACAGTAGAGACAAAAGCAACAGTAGAAACAAAAACAGAAGATTTTCTTACCTCAAATGAACTGGAATTTGCTCCCATGGTAGTATCAGTTGCATATAATTCACTCTAGGAGCTGAGAATGGGAAACAGCGATAGAATCCACAACTGACAGTCTCCTGAATGAAGGAGACAAGAAGATGTTTTAAAACATGATTCATGACCACGCCTCTCTTTGAATTCCAGAAGCATAGTTCCCTCCCTCTCTTCCTTAGCCTGTTGAAGTAATTGTCTTGGTTAATTTGAGGCCAGACTGCTGCCATATAGGTATAAAGGAAGTCAGAGTATCCAGTCAGTGATTATATTTTTATGCTGAGTCTACCATAGGTTTGGCCCATTCTGCAGTTTGCGAAGAGAGAAAGTCAGACAATCAGGAAAAAGAGAGCATAGAGAGATTTAATACATTAAATGTTTTAGGATGGAAGACTGGGTTTTGGGGATCCAGTACAAGGTTAGCAGATTTGCTATCCACTGTATAGGAATTTCTATATCCTTCCATATGAAAATGCAGCCTGATACTTGTGTGTATATATGGTTTTGCTTCATTTTTATTGTCACAGCAACTATCTTATGGGGTATATTAGAAGAGAGGAAAATGATTGGCTCAAGGTGATATTTTTATGCCCATGATTTAGGGGAAACTTGAACCAGGTTTACCTAATCTCTGTAGCCAACATGTCTATCCTGGGATTTTCAGCATTTGATAGGAAGAGGGAAAACTCAGGATACAAATGAATCATGTCCCCCAATTTATTTATTTATGATTTCAGTTTATATGGCTGCCCATCTTAAATTCCTTACTCTAGTCTGCTATATAAATTTATTTGTATTCCTTTATTTTTTTCACATTTTTTAAATCACCCATCTCTCATAGACAGACAGACAGATAGTTTAATGGCCTCCTGGTGTGTTCAGACACAGTCAGCAGCAATACTATAGAATTTGCTTCCCAACTTTCATGAGATTCTACAGAACAATTACCTTTTTGAGAATGATTGGTCTCTGAAAAATGAGCACAATTAAGTTCAGCAATGCTAAGGCCCTATTAGTGTAAAATTGATATGTTGAATGTACTCATAACATCAGTGAGACTTTGCTTAGATCTGCTCAATGGTGTTATGTAATCAATTTGTTTGAGCTAGTAGTTAAATTTTGTTTTGTTATTGCTGGGATTTTTCCTGAGGGAATCTCACTGGGGCCTGGTGCTGGCTGGTCCATCCATTTTTGGGAAGCCTGAGCATTGTGTCTCTGGCATCTCCTGACCTTCTTCAAAGGGACAACGACTTGCAATGAGAGGCCAGTGCACTGCAGTTTGGAATAATGGCACTTTCACAGGTGGTCCTTGATTAGTGACCACAATTGAAACCAGCAACTCGGTCACTAAGCACCATAGTTACTAAGCAGAAAATCATGCGACCACAAAGGACTTCCAACCTGACTTTCCACTCAGCCATTAAGTGAAACATTGCTTTGGCCACGACTTATGATTTTACTTCCACATTGTTTGTTAACTCTGGTTATTGCAAGTAGGTTGGGAAGCACATAAATGGTGATCACAACATTACGTAACAGTCATAAATGTGAGGATTGGTCACAAAGCTAAGTTTTCTCACACAATTGAGCAATTGAACAATTGCCAAATTGGCAGTAAGTGAGGACTGCCGGTATTAGACCATTATTGGGAGGGAAGGGGTTTAAGGACTGTCAGTGCCCTACTAGCCTTTGTAGGGGGTGGAAGAGGAACAATGGGAATAGACTGAGTGCTTAATAAGGCTGGTGTGTGCAGACTTAGACAAAGGATTTGGTTCTACTTAAAAGAAGAGGAGAGAAGAAGAGGAGAAGCTGGAACCAGTTGTGGCTACATTGAAAAAAAACACCCTTGGATTTTTTTCAATGCTCCTGAAATGGTTAGAATGACAGGTGTGGGATGTTCTGTCCTTCCAGGAGAGTCTGTGAAGGATGACTAAAAAGTCATAATGGCAGTTGTGACTATGCAACTGAAGCTCCATCTCTGGCAGATGTGTCTATATATTATCGATTGCATGATCAGAACCACCGTCATGTCCTTTTGACCATTTCTGTGGGCATGCCTGTGTCCTTCCCAATGATGAATGGTATTTTATCAACTGCATACACATGAAATTGCTTGCAGTGACTCATCTTATAAGTCATATGTCATGTGCACACTTTAAAACTATATTACTAATCTCTGGTAAAGCCAATTTGACAAAATGGGTTGCTGTGTAAGCATCACCAGCAGGGAAAGAGGAAAATAACATCTTGGGATGACAAGTCAAGTTTTTGATACCAATTGAAGCCTACAAAAACATTGAGAAAACCTTATTGTGCTAAGTGAAAGATTTGATGACTGACTGCAATGCAAGAAAGGTGTTAGTTTGTGGTGTTCGGCTGATACAAAACTCCATAATCCTGAGAGTGTTAATTAAACTACTCTTACCATTTCTATTTGAGTTGGGTTTGATGTCCGAGTGGCCGACGTGGCGCAGTGGGGTAGACTGCAGTACT